CTTTTTCAGTTGTAGAGTAGAATTAATTGCATATTGACTTGATAATTTTTTTCTATAAAACAGTATTGAAATGGCGTCATCCGATGGTAATAAAAGAAATGATATAGCTTGGAATTATCCTATACAAGGCTCATCAAGATCCGCAATTAAATGTGTGTTTTGTGAAAAAATATACCATGGTGGAATAACTCGTCACAAACAACATTTGATAGGTGGATTTTAAAATGTAGTACAATGTTCTCTTTGTCCGCCGGAGGTTAGGGAGGAAGTAAATGTTGAGAAGCAAAATGTGACAAGAACTCAAATGAGTTATGAAGAATCGGTGAATCTTATTGATGAAGATGATGAAATGGGACCTCCCCCCCCAAAAAAAAAAACTCAAAAGATATCTTCAAATAATTCTAGTGGGTCATCCACGACGCGTACGGTGACAAAAGGTCCTCTCAATCTTTATTTCACGGCAAAACAACAAGAAAATGGAAAAGGTGATTCAGGTTCAGGTTTAGAAGCCAAGAAAATTTTGAGGGATCGCGCCGCAAGTTCCTTTGCAACATGGATGTACGATGCAGGGCTCCCTTTCAATTGTGTTAACTACAAATCTTTTGATAAATTCATTGAGGCCGTAGGACAATATGACCCAGGAATGAAGTCTCCTAGCTATCATGAAGTTAGATTAACTCATCTTAAAAAAGAGGTGAAGAAGATAGACAAAATTGTTGAGGAACATAGAGTGCAATGGAACAAGTTTGGATGTTCCATTATGATGGATAAATGGACAGCACGGAATGGAAAAATGGTCATAAATGTATTGGTAAATTCTCCAAGAGGGAGTATTTTTCTTGAATCTTACGATGCTAGCAACTCTTCTACGGATGCAACCAAAATGTACAACTTGTTTACAAAGACTATTGATAAAATTGGAAAGGAAATGTTGTACAAGTTGTTAGCGATAATGCTAGTGAGAATGTTAGTGCTATGTATCCACACATTTATTGGACTCTATGTGTTGCCCATTGTTTCAATTTGATGTTTGGTGACATATTCAAGGAAAACCCATATGATTCAGGTAACTTTAATATAGTTATCTTTAACTTTATTTATACTTATGTCCTATTAAGTTTTAACTATAAAATTGTTATTATTACTTTTACTTTAATATAATTATACTTACTTTCACTAAGGTCGTCAAGATATATTCTTACATCAGTCAGAGGCCATTGTTGTTGAATTTGTTGAGGAAATTTACAAATGAAAGAAATTTGATGAGACCGGCCAAGACTAGATTTGCAACGGCTTTCTTAACTTTGCATTGTTTTTACTTGCAAAAGAAAAACTTGAGAAAGTTAGTTCTTTCAAATGAATGGAAAGATAATAGATATGTAAAGGAAGCTGCGGGGAAAGAAACTGCCAAAATTCTTATTTCTCCATCATTCTGGAATGACGTCGTTCGGGCTCTTAAAGTTGGTGGTCCTTTGATTAGGGTACTTCGTATGGTAGATCTGGAGAGAAAACCTGGGCTATCTTTATGAAGCTACGGATAGAGCCAAAGAAACTATTAAAGCGTCATTTGAGGGAGATGTGAGGAAATATGAGAAAGGTTTTGAGATTATTGATAGCAGGTAGTCGAATCAACTCCATCGACCTTTGCATGCAGCAGGCCATATTCTGAACCCGGGATTATTTTACAAGAATAGTATAGATGGCACTTTAGATTCAGAGGTGTGGGTTGGATACCATAAATGTATTGAGAAGTTGGTCCCCGATGCAGCGATGGTAGATCAAATAGGGGAGGAGTTTGGTAGGTACACACAAGCGGATAGCCTATTTGGTTTACAGGCGGCTATTAGAGCCAGAGACATAAGGTCGCCGGGTAACTAACTTTAATATAGATATCCTTATAGCTTTAATTTAATTTATTTGATTTACTTATAGTTATTAACTTCTAAAATATTTTTCTATAGTTGAATGGTGGATGCAATTTGGTCAGCAAACTCCAAACTTGCAAAAGTTTTGCCGTCAAAGTACTAAGCTTAACTTGTAGTGCATCTGGATGCGAGAGAAATTGGAGTGTATTTGAGCATGTAAGAAGCACATTTATTACATTAGTATATTTTATATTTTATTATTATTAGTATCTATTAATTAATTTCTACAACTTATGCGCAGATTCACTCCAAGAAAAGGAATAGGCTTGAACTATCGCGTTTCAATGATCTAGTGTATATTAAATACAATAGAATATTGAGGCGTCGTTATAAAGCTCGCGATACCATTGATCCAATTTTGTATAACATTGACGAGTCAAATGAATGGTTAACTGGAGCCCATGAAGATGAACAAGTGTATGTAGGAGATGATCTCGATTGGGGTACTGTTTCTATGGCAACTGGAGTTGAGGAGAATATCTATGATCTTAGAGGGAGTTCTTCAAGATCAAATAACAAGGGAAAGGGAGTAGCTACAAGTTCAAGTCGGTCCCTAATTGATGAAGACTCCGAGGATGAAGAAGAGGATAGCCAATATGATGCTAAAATTCTTGAAGTTCAAGAATTTGAAAATCTTGAAGAAGAATAGATGTTGCTTGTTTTAGTTTATGAATCTACTATGACTATTTATTGAGTTTTTAATTTTTGAATTGATATATTTATTAATATATTATTGCTATTGAGTTTTTAGTTATATATGTATAATATTTTATTTTTTGTATAAATTGTCGCTTCACATCAAAAAGGTGAGCACTTCGCTGCTCACCTCTCGCCTGCGGGCTCTCGTCGCTATTTCTCGCCGCATGCTATCCAAAACACTGATTTAGATGAAGAGATTTATATAGAGCAACCTGAGGGTTATGTAACTAAGGGAAAAGAAAACTATGTCTGCAAATTGAAAAAGAGCATGTATGGATTGAAACAAGCTCCAAGGCAATAGTATTTGAAGTTTGAATCTGTCATAGAAAAACAAGGGTACAAGAAAACTTTTTCAGACCACTCTGTATTCTTCCAAAAATTCTATGATGATGATTTTATTATCTTATTGCTTTATGTGGAGGATATGCTTATTGTTGGCAAGAATAAATCTAAAATTGCAGTCCTTAAGAAGCAGTTGAGCAAATCGTTTGCGACGAAGGACTTGGGGCCAGCAAAGAAAATCTTGGGCATTCAAATCCACTGACACAGAGATAGAAAGGAGTTATTGTTTTCCCAAAAGCAATACATTGAGAAGGTACTCAAGAGGTTCAATATGACAGATGCAAAAGTGGTTAGTACTCCTCTTGCTATATACTTTAAATTGAGTATTAGTCAGAGCACATCAATTGATGAAGAGAAAAAGGAGATGTCTCGTATTCCTTACTCTTTTGCTGTTGGTAGTTTGATGTATGTTATGGTTTGCACTAGACCAGATATTGCATATATCGTTGGTACTGTTAGTAGATTTCTTTCGAATCATGGAAAGGAACATTGGGATGCAATAAAATGGATATTAAGGTATATGAACGGTACTGCAGATTTGAAGCTGTGTTTTGGTAGTGGCAAGCATGAACTTGTATGTTACACAGACTCTGAATGTATTGCGAGTATATGCAACACGGGCTAGAATGTTTCGTTAAATTGAGAAAATAATTCCTAAAATTTGATGCATCACATCAATGGTCCAGGGGAATATATGAGATATAAATCTCTCATTTTTGATAAGGTAAAGAATATTATTAAATTGGTACCAAGATGGTACAGAAAAAACATGAGACATTAATATTTTTTTCACTTAAATTCAGACAGCAATATTCAACTGAAAAGAAAGAAAAAAAGAAAATGATGGGTAAATGAACTCTTTGTGCCTTAATGTCCAGCAAAAAGTGTACACCAGGGATTAAAAAAGTATATATTCGGGTTATAAGCTACAAAGATTAGTTTATCAAAAGAAAAAAAAAACTACAAAGGTTATATGACTAGCAATTGTATAGCATCTGACCCAGCTAAGATCATATTCACTGAATAACTTAAAACAAACATATAAAAAGCCACCTCCACTCACTAGTTCTCAGAGGTCTATGGAATGTGTTGGGTCATGCCCATGTCGTCCAGCCAAAGGCCCAATGGCCTTATCCTATTATCTTTTGGTTTCCATTCCTATTCGGAATTGGATTCGATTTTTATTCCTATTTGAAGTTAGTTTTGGCTTTAAGAGAAAGTATCGCTCATTATCTATAAATAGAGCAACCTCGAAGAATTGCTCTACGCTCATTGATATAAGTTTTTGAAAGGCTTTAGCACATAAGAGTGGTTTTTGAGAGAGCTTCCATCAAGAGAGAAGAAAGAAGAAAAAGAATTCATTTTGTTGCAGAGTTTATTCCGACCAGCCAGCTTGAAATTACGTTTTCCGATTTGTTCACCGTTGGATTGGGTTGAATTTTTGACTGAGTGTTCCTAACATCTTGATCTTTGATTTGAACAAATGGAGATCGGATTTGGAAGGCCGTAGCATCCGAATTCGAGCCTTGAACAGCAACTCCGTTTTTGTGATTTCTCCTCTTTCTTCAATTGATTTGTTGTTGCTATTGCTGCTCCGTGTTTGACACTTGTTGTGTAGCCAATTTGGAGAACTTTGTAACCCTCTTATTGTTATAGTGGAGCCTTTTGGATATTTGTGATCCCGTGGTTTTTACCTTCGATTTGAAGGATTTTCCACGTTAAAATTTGGTGTTCATTATCTCCTTTATTTTCGGGTTTGCCAATTCCTTGACATAACAGGAATGAACCATGAAACTGATAAGATATGAGATTCTGTTTCTATTTTAGATATGATCTTTCCCACGCTTTGCATTTGCAGGAGCATCTGTAATTGCTATACCTGATATTAGCTGTTAACTATTATCCTCAATTTCCAAGGTAAACACATTATGGCAAACATTAAGTGACCACAACACAAACATGGAATAAGATAGATATGGTATACAGGCAATAGAAGATTCAAAGAGGAAAGAAACTGAATTGCAGTAAACATACCCTGTTCATATTCCCGTATCCGACGTTCGACATTTTCAACATCTGCTGCTTGCCGCAAGATACCTTCAACTCTCACTCCTGGAAAATATTGTAAAATCAGCACCATGAAATGAGAATGCACAGACATTAAATAACTAAATAAACTTTACAACTAACGAGAAGCATTAGTTGAATATTATAGCTCAATAGAACTTTGGCATATGTGTACCCAGAGATACTGCACTTAGGACACCAAAGCAGAGAGATGATGTACCTAGTTCATCTTCTGGCTGAAGTAAATGCTTTATTTATAATCCTTGACTACACAAAATAATGTATTCCAAGTTCTAGAAAATGTCAAAGTAAAAGGGTCTCAGAATAGCTTCCTAATTTATTGTTCAAGCAGCAACTCACTGATACCTCCATTCACTGTTTTATATATGTACATGTAGTTTACCTATTTGAATTCATTAGTTCCAATCACTTCACTTTCTAGAAAAAAAAATTGCCATAAATCTATAATTAGGAGAAACTAACTGATCAGATGTAGGTCAACAACAAGCAGGGAGGAAAAAGGAATTTAAGAAATGAGTAGGAAGTTCTTGTAGAGCGTAGGTAGGATTTTCCGAAAGACATTGTAATTGCACCACATTAATCATTTTCTTTAACAGGCAGATGATGATGCATTCAACTTCTAAAAATTATTTTCTTTAAAATGATTCAATCTCCTTAACATCTTCATAAAGAGAACTGACTCTTTTTTCCTCAACTAGTTAGTGATACAAGGATAAAATGCATACCGAACTGAGTTATACCTTCTCAGCGACCGAAAGAATCAATTTTTGTTCCTCATGGTTCACAGGAACATTGGTTCTGTGAGAATGAAGAGCAGAAAAAGGCGTAGTAATGACCTGATTAATACAAGACACCTATGTATGTGTCAAACAAAATACACATGTATTCATCCAACGGAACTTCTATTCTATGAACCTGTACTCCCCCCCAAAACTTGGAACTTGTTTAAGCTTAAATTATGCTCAGTTCTAAATTAGATGGATAGTGTATGTGCGGATGAGTGTGTATAATGTTGAAATGTGTTCGGGATGGTAACATAAGTGTTGGAAATGACTTGGTGATGTGTTGAGAACGAGAACAACTTGCAGAACGACTTTCCAAGCACTTAGGGAGCATAAGTTGTATGCTAGATTCTCTAAGTGTAAATTTTGGCTCGAGGTAGTGGCATTCTTGGGCCATATTGTTGCAAGTGAAGGTATTAAAGTAGATCCATAGAGAGCTGGATCCGGAATTTGAAGTTATGGGTTCCGATTTTAGCCCTATTGAGTTAATGAGTTCTAAATTAATAATTTGTACATAGTAAATGTATTTCTTAAGACAAATACAGGTTTTAAGCTACTGAGCTCTATCAAACCCGTACTTCAAACTGTACACCGGCCCCTGTCCATAGAAAGTAGAAGCAGTCCAGAGTTGACCAAGACCGACGATACCAACAAAAATTCAAAGTTTCATGGAATTGGCCAGGTATTATAGGTTCATTTAAGGTTTTTTTACTCTTGCTGCGTCATTGATAAGGTTGACAATGAAGAAAGAGGCAAAGTTTCAGTGGTTCGACACCGGTGAAAAGAGTGTCTAAGAGTTGTGACTATAGCACCGGTGTTAACCTTGCCGACAGGTTCGGGTGCTCTCGCCGTGCATGGTGATGCTCAGACAGTTGGGTTGGGATGTGTATTGGTGCAAAATGATAAGGTCATTGCCTATGCTACAAGGCTATTGAAGAACCATGAACAGAACTAGCCCATCGTGATTTGGAATTAGCCACGGTGATGATCGCCTTAAAATTTGGTGTCACTACTTTTATGGTGTACATTTTGAACTATATACAGATCACAAGAGACTCCAATAAATTGTCTTGTTTTATTACCAAGAAATCCCCAATGGCCAGTGGCACAAGGTTTGAAATTCGATGGATAATAGGCATTGCCTCTCTACTCTTCTCCACTTAAATAACAAACCTTTCTTTGTAGTAAGGTTCAAAATCATGATGTGTGCCTTAAATGGTTTGGAGTTGTCTTGAAGTGATATGGTAGCNAGCCATTGCTCGATATTCTGCTTCTGCACTAGACCGAGCAATTACATTCTGTTTCTTGCTCTTCCAGGACACCAAATTTCCTCCTACTAAAACACAATATCCAAACGTAGAACGTCTATCAGAAGGTGATCCTGCCCAATCAGCATCTGAGTATCCAATGATCTGCTCATGACCTCGATCCTCAAAGAGTAACCCTTTGCCTGGAGCCGATTTTATATATCGAATAATGCGGACAACTGCATCCCAATGACTATCACAGGGAGAATTCATAAACTGACTTACAACACTCACAGGATAAGAAATGTCGGGTCTAGTCACTGTGAGATAATTTAATTTTCCAACCAGCCGCCTATAGCTTGCAGGATCGCTAAGCGGCTCCCCCTGTCCTGGCATAAGTTTAGAATTCGGATCCATCGGAGTGTCAACAGGTCTGTAACCTATCATCCCCGTCTCCTCAAGAATGTCTAAAGCATATTTTCTTTGAGAAATAACAATACATGAGCTAGACTGGGCAACCTCAATATCTAGAAAGTACTTCAATATGCCTAGATCCTTAGTTTGGAAGTGCCGGAAGAGATGCTGCTTCAGATTGGTAATACCATCCTCATCATTGCCTGTAATAACAATATCATCAACATAGACTACCAGATAAATATAGAAACTTGAAGCAGAGTGCCGATAAAACACAGAGTGATCAGCTTCACTACGAATCATGCCAAACTCCTGGATAACCGTGCTGAACTTACCAAACCAGGCTCGAGGAGACTGCTTTAGACCATAAAGTGACCGACGCAAGCGACATACAAGGCCACGAGACTCCCCCTGAGCAACAAAACCAGGTGGTTGCTCCATATAAACCTCATCCTCAAGATCACCATGAAGAAAGGCATTTTTAATGTCCAGCTGATAGAGGGGCCAATGACGAACCGCAGCCATGGATAGAAAAAGGCGGACTGAAGCCACTTTAGCCACGGGAGAGAAGGTATCACTGTAATCGAGCCCAAATATCTCAGTATATCCTTTGGCAACAAGACGGGCCTTAAGTCGATCAATCTGTCAATCGGGACCAACTTTGACTGCATAAACCCAACGACAACCAACAGTAGATTTACCTAAAGGAAGAGGAACAAGCTCCCAAGTACCACTTGTATGTAAAGCAGACATCTCGTCACTCATAGCCTGTCGCCATCCTGGATGAGACAACGTTTCACCTGTAGACTTAGGGATGGAAACCGAGGACAAAGAAGATATAAAAGCATAATGGGGAGATGACAGACGATGATAGCTCAAACCGACATAATGAGGATTAGGGTTAATTGTGGTTCGTATACCTTTCCGAAGTGCAATCGGTGTACTAGGAGCAGGGTACGCAGCAGGAGCAGGATCAGGTGCAGGACGAGAACCAGTTAGGCCTGATGGAAGACGCAAACGACGATGATAAGTAAAGAGTGGTATTTCTGTGGCTGGGAAACTAGGGGGAACAACACTAGACTCCTCAACGATTGGTATGGATGAAACCTCTATGGTCGAAGATGGAGGAGGAGCTATAGTAAACTCTTCAAAGGTCGGTATAGGTAAGACCTCAGATATATCATGGTGGTCAGCAGAAGTAAAGAAAGGTTTAGACTCAAAAAATGTGACGTCAGCTGACATAAGGTACCTACGAAGATCTGGAGAATANTGGTCGAAGGTGGAGGAGGAGCTATAGTAAACTCCTCAAAGGTCGGTATAGGTAAGACCTCAGATATATCATGGTGGTCAGCAGAGGTAAAGAAAGGTTTAGACTCAAAAAATGTGACGTCAGCTGACATAAGGTACCTACGAAGATCTGGAGAATAACAATGATATCCCTTCTGAACACGAGAATAACAAAGGAAGACGCACTTAAGAGCACGAGGAGCTAACTTATCTTTCCCAAGGGCTAAGTTATGAACAAAACACGTGCTCCCAAAAACACAAGGTGGAAGAGAGTATAAGGCTGACTGGGGAANTTGATGGGAGATGAAGGCATCCGATTAATCAAATAACAAGCTGTGAGAACTGCATCGCCCCAAAAACGCAACGGAACACGAGATTCAATTAGAAGTGTGCGAGCAGTCTCAATAAGGTGCCTATTCTTTCTCTCAGCAACCCCATTTTGCTGAGGGGTATTAGGACAAGATGTCTAATGAATAATTCCTTGAGAAGTCATAAACTGCTGAAATTGAGAAGATAAATATTCTAAGTCATTATCACTGCGAAAAATGTGAATAGAAACACCAAATTGGTTTTTGATTTCAGCACAGAAACTCTGGAATATAGAAAATAACTCAGAACGATCTTTCATTAAGAAAAGCCAAGTACATCTTGAATAATCATCAATGAAACTGACAAAATAACGAAATCCCAAGGATGAACTGACTCTACTAGGACCCCATATATCAGAATGAACTAAGGAGAAGACAGACTCTGCATGACTCTCAACACTACGCGAAAAGGAGGCTCGGGTATGTTTCCCAAGTTGACACGACTCACAATCTAATGTAGACAAACTAGATAAACTAGGCACCATCTTCTGAAGTTTGGATAAACTCGGATGTCCTAAACGTCTGTGGATTAGATCTGGAGGATCTGTAACTAGACATGTTGTGGAAGGACTGAGTGAGTTAAGGTAGTAAAGGCCTTCTGATTCACGTCCTGTACCAATTGTCTGTCCCGTACTGCGGTCCTGCATAATAAAAGAATCGTCAATAAAATATATACTACAATGGAGGGCACGAGTCAAACGACTAACAGATGCAATACTAAAAGGACAACCAGGGACATAAAAGAACGGAATCTAGGGTGATAGAAGACAAAGGATTAGCTTGTCCAACTCCTTTTGCCTTAGTTTGACATCCATTGGCTAAAGTAACAGTGGGAAGAGACTGTGAATATACAACAACAACAACCCAGTATAATCCCACTAGTGGGGTCTGGGGAGGGTAGTATGTACGCACACCTTACCCTACCC